TTTCAGTACAAACCAGGCCTAAAAAATCACAGCTGATGCCTTTTACCAAGTTTCCACCTTGATCCCAAAGGCAAATGCATGGGGAAGATGACAGCAGAAGGAGCACCTGGCAGGACCTCCCTTGATCCTGCAGCAGGGTCCCAAACTGAGCCACATGCCACCAGTAGAAGAGGACAACATGCACTTGTTGTTCTATCATTAGGCAGAAGGAGGAAACATCAAAGCGATGCTGTGGAGTTCTTTAGGGCATGGAGGGCCTTGGACAGGAAAATGCCTTCACCTGCAGCTCCTCCAAGAGCTTTTCCCAGGGTGGAGTTGATGATGGTGACTTTGTCCATCACTCCCAGGAGCTCATCCGTACCCCTGTAAAAAAAGGAATGTCACATCATCAGCTGTGCCAGCGTGCACCAGGGGAGCTGCTCTACACCTGATGCTTCAAGGGAAACAAAGCGCCACCAGCCAGGTCTCCAGTGTCCCCCCTTCTGGTACAGGCAGAACAACCCCCTGGGGTAGTTCGACCCAAGTGTTGACCTTCCCTTCTCCTGCAGAAAGGCTAAGCTGGGATCTCCCTAGGTAAAAGCATGGGTTCTTCATCCCTTACAGATAGGAGAGTGCTCAAACTTCCCGCACAGAAGTTTTAACAGTCCGAAGAGAGCACTAGCCATTGATGTAGGTCTTGCACACGCCTCTGACATGCCACACCGTTGGCCTACACCAGGGAAAAAACAGTTGCCTGGCTAGAGCAGCTGATGTCCTCTGAGGTGGGCTGTGCACGTCACTGATGTGCTGCCCCAAACGCACACAGGCCTAAAGCACCCAGGTTGAGTTCTACCCTAGTGGAACTAACTGGACGTGGCAAATGTGCTCTGCAGCTTTGCGTCCTACAGCCCAAAAAGGAGCATGGCCACCCAGCTGTTCACTCTCCTGAAATGCAGTGATGGAGACAACAACATCAGGTTCACACTGAAACTAGCACAACTCATGAAGCACTCGGTAATCGTTCCCTCTTCCTCAAGCCGCTGTGCACTTACGCACCTCAGTGCAGTCAAACAGTTGTTTTTGCAGCTGGTGGGACCACAGAGCCCACTGGGACAGAACGACAAGGTCTACCTCAACTCACAGGATGGCTACCATGCCCCAAGGAAGGAAGATTACAAGACAAGCAGACCATCCTATGATTTCTCCTTATGAAGAATTAAATTTGACAAAGCTCAGTACAGCTACAGGGTCTGGAATATATTAGAGCTCAGCACGACCACGTCTCTTGTCAGTGACAAAGTGCCACCAGGAATGGCCTCCATTCTCTTAAAAGATGTCTCTTGCACCATCATTTTGATCCAGGATGAAACGTTTGCCATGGCCTTGGTGAGAAAACGAGGCAAGTTTTCTTGCTTAGTTCTCACTTCTCACCCATTTCACAGCTTGATGTGGACTTGCCAGCTTCCCACATGAGATCTCTCTAGAAAGGAGGGAGCTGGAAGGGAGCTCTTCATAGAGCAACTTTTGGCTTTTTCAGAGATGGCTTTCTCCTCAACATCTCCAGCATTATTCCTCTGAGGAGGGACCCATTGCTCGTTCTTAGAGGTCTTGCCTCACACAGGTCTCTGCCTTCCAGTAGAGAACAGGAAGGGCCATGCAACAGAATGCTTGGCACTTGTGTGCCTGAATAAAACAAGCACGTGAAGCGTCTCTTCTCGGCAAACACCTGCAGCAAGTGCACTGCTTGGCACCTGGAGGATTTCCAGGGGACGGAGGGAAAAGCTGCCCTGAGGGAATCAATCTGTGCAAGCTAACTCCACAAAACCCCCAAGGCCCAAGCATTTGAAAGTGATAGCTGAGAGGAGGAGGATTCAGAAATCGGGAAGTCCAACTGCTTGCCAGAAGAGGCAGATGAGAGGGTCACACCATCCCTTACACACAGAGAAGTGGCTGTCATGTTTGGATGGGTCAGTGCTAAAGTACCTCCCTTCAATCCCCTCAGGTGCCCCAAAAGGGATATATTATCAGGAGGCAGAGGTGGGGTGCGAAGCCTTCAAGAAACGGTGGTTCCAGGAGTCCCCCCACAAAAACACATTAGCCATCACCACCTTTGGCCTCGCCTGAGAGGTAAATGGGGTCGAGGGGAGAAACAGGGGTAAAACAGCCCCTTACCGGCCATTGGGTCCCAGGAAGCCTGTGGCGTGGCATTCATCAATGAAGACCAGGGCATCATACTTCTGGGCCAGCTGGCAGATCTCCCTCAGGGGTGCGATGTCACCATCCATGGAGAAGGCACCGTCGGTGGCCACCAGCCGC